TTCTCCTTGCACCCCCGCTATTGTAATCTCATCCCGAAAAATTGGCTGCGTTCAGCAGAAAAAGCAGCTTTGCTTATTGTGTTGTAAGATATTTTAATAATGATTAGTTCTTACCCTTAAGGATTACATCTATTTTTATAATTTAATATTAATATTTATACTTTAACTAAATTCTAAACTATATACATATGAAAGTTGTTTTTATAACAATCTATTTTCCTTGAATAACATGATTTTATTATTTACTTATTTTGTTTGTTATTATTTTTATTGTTATAATTAAAATTAAAAAGATAAAAGTTTCAATTTTTTAATATATATATTTTAAGTATTCAAAAGGATTTATGCAAAGTTTTATTGAGATTCAAAGATTAGTTACAAAGATTTAGATTTGTTTATTTACGAAACAACTAATCTTTACATCGCAATGTAATTTTATATAAATCATCTCAAATGCTTAAAGTACTTGTATAAAAGATTGAGATTTTTATTTTATAAAATATTTCTCTATATATATATATATTTCTATAAGAACACAGAAACATTTAGAAAATATTACTTCTTGAAATAATTTTTTATCCAGATGGCTTATTGCTTAATTGTTATGTAATGTATAAACAGTTATATTAAAATTAATAAAAACATTATATTAAAGTTATATATATTTTATATATTAAAGGTAATATTTTATATTAAAGAATTTGACAACAATGGCAAAGCTGCTTTATTGCTGAACGCTGTAGCCACTGTTGCGTTCCAAAAAATTATCTACGATCCACTACACGAGGACACATCCGAAGGAGTAACCACTTAATATAATCGTGGGACAGAATCCTCGAAATCATTATAAAATTCATATGAAATATCTATGTGTAATCCGATAATTACATATGCAACTACGAGAAATAATTGTATAATATTAAATAAAATCGTATATTTTAGCAAATGATTTCATATGCAGTGAAAAAAATTATTTGTAATCAGATGAAATCATATGAAATCATGTAATCTGTGGGACAATATTTCAGCTAGTGATTATCCTCTCGGACTGGCTCGGATACATTATATGTATGATGACTGGCGCGCGGCTGGCGCCATGATTATCGACGAGCGGAACTGAGCAAAACTCACATCACCAGGGCGATGTGAGTGGGTGGTGTAACAATAAGTGTACGTATGTATGTACCTACTTGGCCACGCGAATCGAGGAGTGTCGACTCTTATTTCTATGGTTCTAAAATAGACCATAAAATTTTCCAAGACACAAAATTCCTTCCGTTTTTTTGATAAAAATATTTAAGAATAACTCTTAGGAAGGATTTCGAAAGATGAAATATTAAGCGGAAATATATGTATGTATAAAGTGTTGTCCGAATAATTTTGTGTGTCAAGGTAATTTATCTTTATACATGTATCTTTATATATACATATGTATATGTATGTCTATGCAGTGTAAAGGCTTCAAGTATGAAAATAGTATAATATTATTAAAAAAATAATTTATATTTAAAGTATATTATGTTATATAAAATATTAATATGCAGTATAAAAATAGCAAAATGTGTGATTAATTGTATATCACAAAATTATTTTAATAATTATTGAGATAACTACTAAAATAAATTTTTGAATAATGATAGATAAGGATTAATAACATGAAACTCAAATATATATTAATTAATGCTCAAACATAAATATTAAATATAGATAACTTTTTATGAAATATTGTATGTAGCTAATCTAGATAGATTCTCGTGTTTCCAAATTCTTCTGAATTCGCGCATTCTACGTCGTGCATAAAATATTACGTAAAAAAATTTGCATATTGCATTCATTGCAAAATAACACGTCATTAGCTGTGTCTGCTCCGTTTACAGATGCGCAGAAAATTACCAGATGTGCATCTTTGTTGTTGTACAATAGCGCACGAAGAAACAATGGCAGATCGCATCTCAATCGCTCCAGAAACGTAGAAACTTGATGCAGTTTTTTGCAACTATATGAAGTGCATGAAGTGCACATTCTTTTGCATATATTGATGATAAGCGCCGTACAATCAACAATGTATGCAGTGAGGATAAGGAACACAAAGTAGAATAAAGTCGATTGCTGCGAAACGTCGCGTAACACGAACTAATATTCGTAAATCTAAAACCATTTCACTATCGGGGTTCAAATATACTTTGCGCCTCAACAGTGCTTTAATTACATTCTCGGCTAACAGTTAAACGATCCCGCAATGTATGATGTGATCATTTCAAACACATAGTTTACATACATGATTTTTCGTGCACTTTTATTTGTATAAATGAAAATAAATTGAGGACTACTATCTCTCTCTTGCTAAGTTTTGAAGTAGTAAATGTAAATTTATTTAATTTGATTAAGAAGTTTATTAAAAATTAAACATTGTTTCTATTGTTTCTTGAATTGTTTTTCAGAAATAAGTTGCACACATAATTATTATATCAAATAGTTATTATATTACTTTTTATATTAAGCGATAGCTCTTTGCGACATACAAACATCAAAAATATATTTTGTGTATGCGTTTTTATTTATACACTTGAAAATAAATAAAGCAACTCTACCATGCTTGCATATTTTGAATTAGCAATATAACATTGTGAAATTGGATTAAAAAATTCATTAAAAATTAAGCACGTTTTTTCGCAATGCTTTAACTATAAGTCGCGCATGTAATCTACATAAGAAGTGACATTAGTGGTAACATGGCGACGCCAAACTATATAAAAATTACATAATTTTGCGTGATGCTTCTATATTTGCAAATTAAAAAATAAATTAATTATCCTAGATTTTAAATCAATAATATATTTATATTATGAATTAACGAATATAAAATTGTGGATTTGCATTAAAAAATTTATTAAAAATTAAGCATGTTATTTCTTGCGTTGCTTCAATGGAGAAGACTCCATTATTAGTTTCTATCTATGGATACAACGATACGTGATATGTATGTATTAACAAGTATGTATGACTCATCCGTATTGTCAACTCGTGTGCTAGTCACCAATTGCAAAATCTTAATTCTTTTCGCAATTAGTATCGTCAAGCCGCTTATTGTGGATATTATTAGGAATATTATTGAGAGAGTAAATGATATAATTATATCAATTATGTCAAATATAGTAAACAACGAAGCTAAAAACCGCATAAATTATAGATAAAGGCAGAGACCTTACCGATAACTTTTGTTGGTTAATTCGGTAATCCGTAGCAATCAGAAGTGCAACAACTGTATCCGCAAAATATGAACAAAAACGGCAAGATACAATTTTCCGGACTTTACCGATGCATTTTCTATAACGATTTTTCAAATATTCTTTTTCTTCGTGCGGAAGTCGTTCGGCTTTGTTTGAAACGCTTTTTCATATTCGTTCGTGCGATGCATGACAATGCAATAGTACATGCATATCACACGTCTGTCCGAGGAAGAAGTTGCGTAATGTATAACGGTAAAAACGCCGTATGGTAGCAATAAAGAGTTGTCTGTTTCCTTCACTCGGACAGTGAGGAACTATCATTCGTTCATTACAAATCTAATAATTAGCACATAAAAAATATCCTGCTACGAGCACATCACTTGAAACATTTTAGACGGAATTTTATAACGTTGGTTTATTTCAAAAAATTTCGCATATTATTTCTTATAAAAATAGACTTTAGAAAAATAGACTATTGGTATATAGTGCGACCCAAACGTTTCGGCTACACTTTGAGATTTTATTATAGGAAATTTAATTCTCAGAACAAAAAATTTCCTATAAACATGGATAAAAAAATGACTCCTTCAGAAGTTAATGATTTAAAAAATCTTTGAAATCACGATTATTTTATGTATTTTTACAAATCAGGGAATGTATACTTTTTCTAAAAAGGTACTGAAACAAAAGTTGTAGAAAATTAAGTTATCTTTCAAATGAAATCAAATATAAAATAATCGTGATTTCAAAGATTTTTAGTCACTAACTTTTTAAGGAAGCATTTTTCGATTTATGTTTATAGAATACTTTTTTTGTTTAGAATTAAATTTTCTATAAAATCTCAAAGTCTGGCCGGAATATTCGGGGCCACCCTGTATATATAGTTCTTTTAAAGAGAAACCGGAAAAACTTTTCAAAAGAAACTAAATTTGTTATATGTTGAAATTCAGCATGTCGCTAAAAGTGTAACAATTAAAGGACCAAATTTTAAAACTTTAACCGTAAATTGTTATATTATTTATGAAATGTAAAAAAATAAGCAATATATACAATTACATTATAATCATTACAAATGCTATTAAGCAAAAAAGTTTAAATATATAATATATTAAATATATAAAATTGCTCCAATTTTTAAAGAAATTATTAGAAATTCTTACAAGAGAGAGAGAGAGAGAGAGAGAGAAACAAATGTCAAATATAAAATTAATTAAAATATTTACTAAAGAGAAATTGTTACATGATAAAGTTAAAAATAGAGATTTATTATATATCTAATATAAGAATTTTGAAAATAGATGGCTGCATTCAGTAGAGAAAACAGCTTTGCAACTGTTGTAAAATTGAATTAAATATGATTGGTTTATACATTTAGATCCAATGAGGAACTAAGGGCAAGACCAATCATATTAAAAAATTTTACAACAATTGTAAAGCTGTTTTTTCTACTGAACGCAGCCATTAACTACATCATAAAATTTATTAGATTTGAACGTAAATAAATCAAACAATATACGTATAATATTGTCTAAATTATAGCCTTAAGATTATATTTCTTTTCTTATATTTGAAATAAGAGAGAGAAAGAGAGAGATACCAAATTCTAGAAATTCTTGTAACATCAACAAGTTACGCCTCGTTTTGCACAAACCGCGTTATCACCTTAAAGTAGACTAAACGAGCGCCGATAAAAATGACGATATTATTACTCACGTAACCGGCATTAGAGCCTGATAAAATGGGGTTCGATCGATTTTCGTGCCGGTTTACATTGCTTCTAGTTATTCTTTCACTGTGTACACGTATACGCATGTTTCATGAGTATGTATCACGAGTGATATCGCGCCTTAAAAAGTGTTTAGAAAAAAGGACAAATATCTAAAGAAGATCCTTTAAATAAGGTTTCAAATAAAGTTTCCAGAGCATGCAAATATATATTAAAGCTTTTTTAAAAAAGAAGGAAACACAGAAACACATCACCCTAATATGTGCCTGAAAATCTCGCATGATATATTTCTTAGCTAATAATATGTACCTGAAAATCTCGCACGATATATTTCTTAGCTTCGCTAATCTCTTTTACAGTTTTATAGCTGTACGTTTCTGTGTGGTGTACTTTCACCAATTTTGCCTGATTATAACATGTACACAACTACGCATTGCGATAAAATATAATATAACAACGTTATTATAAAAATTGTTCTAGAATTACTAATAGATACAAATTTTATATTATATATAAGCTTCTATAGATGGCAATTTCAGATAGTCAGAATAAAATGTTGCAGCCTTGAATGTTTACCAGCAAAGAACCGATCAAAAAAAAACAGTCATTGAAATATATGTATATAACCAGAAATATTATGATACCTTGATGTTGAAATCAGAAATGACTAAATATAAAAGTTTTGTAAATATAAAATAGTATAGATACATAAAAAAGTATAAGTACAAAATATAAATATTTTTATATTTAATCACATATTCTAATTTTAAAATATATAAATATACAGATATGTGTGTATATATACATATACATTGTATATATAATATATATATTTGCATGTTTATATACATACGATATGCATGTATTCGAATTATTTATACGGTAAAAGTCGATAAAGATTATGTCGATGACGAAAACTATAACTGCAAAACTTAATTAATATACTACAGGATTTCAAAAGAAACTTTTATATGGTTTTCTTTTTCTTACTTTATACTACGTTGTAATGTACTGGCGGTTTTAGAGGATCGCCAGAAGCGTAGAAGCACAGGAAAGTCGGAAATCACACCGCAATCGAGAACGATGGATGTTCGATCGCGGGCTTGATCGCGACCCGATGATTATTGCCAGTCCATCGCCGTCGGGAATTCTCGCGTCGCGTTCCGCGGATTTGCACGCGTGCCGATTTAACCGCTACGTGCACGTCAATCGTCGAGGAAACGCCGTTCGGCACAGCTCGAAACGTCTACCGCGAAAGCAGTGATGCCAGATAAAGTGATTTTTCCCACCACTCGATCGTCCCCGTCACTCTGAAGAACCACGTGACTGCTACGACAGTCGAACTTACAATTAGATCCAACGAAAAACTTCGATCTTTTTTTTTTGCTTCTAACATATATATCTTTTCTCATTATTCGTCGTATTTTTTTGCAATCTTTTTAAGCTCTTTAAATAAAATTAAATAAAATAATTGCAAGTTTTAGAGAAGCATATAATTATATTTGTATAATATTATAGGTACTATTTGTTGTGGATTATGGTAATTTCTCGTAGTCTGTCTATTGCAGCAACAAATACTAATATTCCCGTGACAGGTTGACATAAGTAGATGGAATAATTTAATATATCTTATCACAACCACATATAAATTATAATATTTAGTTTAACTTAGAGGTAATTTAAAGGTATTTTATATATTATTTATTTTTAGAGTATTCATAATAATGGATTCAAAAAGTACCAAGCGCTCGGTTGAATACGCACGCTACTGAGAGTCACGTGACTGTCATACACGCTACTGCGCATGCGCGAAAAATCCCCCGTCTGGCGTAACGATTCGAAAAAAGTATGCAGAGAATGTGACACGGCTGGCCGACGCAACTGAAAGCCGCTCGATGAATACAATGACAGATTGACCCTGCTGGTTCAGGGCCGTGACTAGAACGAATTCGGGTAAATAAACTGAAAGTAATTGCCCATCCACGTGAATCGGTGAATTGATGAAATAAAGAATATATTATAATACTTTTTTTCGAACATCAATCGATTGCCACATACTTCAATGTCATACCTATATGTGTCAGTGACATGGAATTATGTTAATCTATGTAAAACAATCGTCGAATAAACAGCAGCTGTGAATGAATGAAGCAGAATTGATGCAAGAGAGTTGCAATGTTATCATTATGCATTTCGTATTATTCACGTAATTCCTAAAATCTTAACTCATCTCTTATTTGTTGTATTATGATATTTTAATTTTTATATAGATTTTTAATTTATCTGTTTATATGACTCTAATCTCGCATTCGCTTTTATTATTAATCCTTTCTGTTATAATAAATAATTTGAAGTCATGGGGGATGATTTTGTAAATTAGATGTAAATTAGCATTCTATTCGCCACGTTTTTTAAAAGTGATGGTTTCTCTCAAGTAGAACGATCCTGTTTCAAAAAGTTTTAGTTTTTTTATTGATCATTTCACAAAATTTGGATATTAAAATTAAAATAGTTTTTCTGTGTAATATATATTTTGGAGAATTATAACAAGATATATATTAAATAAGAAAGAATTTAATATATCACCGAAAAATAACCGATAAAATTTAAAATTGCTTTCTCTTAAATACGGTTTAATTTATAATAATAATATATTTCTCTTCTCTGTTAATAATGTCAGACTCTGTACTTTGTTGTGTTTCTGCCAAGAAACTTCATTGCCGACAAAGTATTACTTGTACTGCAGTTTTAACATTATCAACTATTCCGATAACACCAGTAGGTATAATATATGTTCTTTTTATCTGAAACTTTTTGCACAGTTCATCTTTTCTTTTTTTTTTCACCAATAAAAAAAGAAGAATTAAGAAAAATGAATCATACAGAAGTTTAGCTAAGAAGGCCTAATGATTCCTATATTAATATTTAATTCATCAAGTCATAAAATTTTTTATAATGGATTATTTACAGATTTTGTATCTTTGTGTCCTTATTAAAAGGAAAAAAAAATAAAACTACCAATTAAAAATGACGAAAAAAAATTCTTTAAAATCTGAAAACTTAATTTATAATATAGCTTCGTTATAAATTAAGAATTTTTATTGAAAAGTATGCATTTTTATATTGCATAGCGAAAGTTTTAGAAAAAATATGTAAGAATATGGCATAAATATATAGCGATCGATCTTTTTTCTCCATGCCAGGCATGTGCATTGAATATGATTACAATAAAAGCAAAAATATCGAATTAATTCTTTAAAAAAGTATATAGAATATATATTTGTATATCAATTATAATTCTATACTTGTAAAAATGTATTTAGTTAATTTTACACGAGTACTGCTAAGCGATATCAAAATTGCTAAACGTATCAAGAATTATCGTTTTGTGAACGTAAGTATTGAAAAGGGGGATCTCGTTTGCCTACAGCTCGATTGCCTAAATGCACTTTTGCGCACAAATAAAAATTTTAGAAACGGAGTTACATTTGCCTACATATATTATTACCCACATGTACTTTTTATTATTATGTATTTAATGTTATTGCCTACAAGTATTATTGCTTACAGCTCGATTGCCTACAAGCACTATATAATACATGTAGGCAAATGTAACTTTGTTTCTAAAATTTTCATTTTGTGCGCAAAAGTGCATGTAGGCAATAGAGTTGTTGACAATAATTTTTGTGCGCAAACGAACTGTCGGCAAATGTGATGTAGGCAAAAGATACTGCAAGCAATAGATTTGTAGGCAAAAGGAGCCATCTCATATTGAAAGGCTTTACTTGTGCATAATTTATAGTAAAACACAGCTTAGATAATTTTTGTATATTTATTTGTATGGTAGAATTATAATACTACAGTGTACTTGTAAGCTTTCTCTTTGAAACGCTTTGTAAGCTTTCTCTTTGAAACTCTTTAATTTAAATATATTTAGTAATATTTTATAATGTGAAAATTAAGTTAATTCTTACATGTTTAAAGAATTTATAGACAATATATAGTAGTTTAAGTGGAATTGATTATGTTCTATATCTTTTAAATAACTTAACATTTAATATAATATAACACACTTAATATAATAGATAATAACTTATAAATATTATAATTTACAGAAAATTTTTTAAATAATAACTTATAAATATTATAATTTATAGTTTATAATTATATATTTGTAGATAATATAATATTCATTATCATAAGAACATTTTCCTTATAAAAATTACAAATTTAAAAAAAAAATTTAAGGAAGAGACAAACTATATCAAAGATTTTTTTGTATTACACTAAATATTCTCGCAATTTTTATAAAAGAATTCTTTCTAGTTTTAATTAAAAAATTCTTCAGATTATATAAGAATATCTGAATACCTTTCTTCGCAAACATCTCTTACAAACAAATATTTGTTCTGATATTTTTTTTATCATGCGCATGTAATGTATACGATAGTCTTATTGATGACTGTCGTTAATTTTAGTTGAAAGTAATTACTAATTGTAAGATTTTATTTGCACTCCAACACAATATTGTGCAATATCATGTGATTTTGATAAGAAAAGTATATGTTGTTTACATCCGGGAGCAGATATCCGAAGAATCATGTAATTTGTTACATACTGATCCTCGTATCATGTATAAGAATTTTTCAGAGACATATTATATCACTTGATAGTATTATAGCAATAGCTTGAAAGAAACGAGTTTATTAATTTGTGAATAAACAAATTATATGACGAATTGTATTTAATTTTTATTAGTAAGATCGTATCTGTTCAACATTTACTGTTCTTTTCTCTACTTTTCGATTTTAATTCGAATATTAATATCCAGACTTTCAGTGCGCATACATATCGCATGCATATCGCATGCATATTTCATAATCACTGAATAATTTATTTTTAAAATTAATCGAAAATTAAGTATATGTAATTTACTGCAGTTTTAATTTAACATACAAACGTTTTTTAAGCTAGATTATCATAATTTTTCCCACGATATCGCGCATTTATACTCCTTCGGTGAATATGAAATATTTTTTCTTCAAATAATTCAGAAGGATACAACTTCTTTAAAATATTTTGTCTATTATTCCAATAGACAATTTAAAAATTATTTAAGTTGTCTTTCTTTATTTTAATTATTATTCGAATTATTTTCTTATCGAAGGACCTATTTTTTCTCTCTTGTTTATTCTAATATCCTTTTTTCTAATTTTTCATTTCAGTTATTGCCAAGACTCTCAAAATTTGAGTCACAGTTCATGTGTTTCTTTGTACATTCTCATTTATTTTAATTATCAGAAAATATCTTCTAGTGCTCAATGATTACTTGAAAAAGTACCTTCTAATGCTCAATGATTATTTGAAAATTATTTTTTAAGTCTAGGTTCACAATTTTGCTTTAAGAAAAGCCGTAAGCAATAAAGCTGTAAAAAATTGAACAATAACAGTTTATTTATTTTTTATATCGACGTTGATTAAATTGGTCAATTTTTTACGACTTTACGGTTTAAAAGCCATTCTACAATTGCGTATAACGTAGTTGTAAGAATTAATCAATCACAGTCAAATATAAGGAAAATATTCTCTCAACTGTGATTAGTCAATTCTTACAATTACAACCATTTACAACAACGCTTACACAATTGTAAAATGGGCTTAAGGCCTCTTAAAACAAAATTGTAGACCTAGACTTATGTTTACTAATATCTTGTAAAGTTTTTCTACATTAGTTTTTTTGCATTTCACTTCTCCCACCAAACAGGAAGAAGCTAATCCGCATTGACCTTGATAGACTAATATCCATATTTATAGTTAGGCCTTATATTTAACGCTTCCTTAAATTTATCTTCAGATACTCTACGAATTATTTTATTGACGAATTATTTTACTGAGCATCTAAAGATAAATTTAAGAAAGCCTTAAGTATAAGGTCTAACTATCAATACGGGCATAAATCGTTGGAATAGCAGACGTTCCATAGATCCCGCGGTCAATATAATTCTCATCCCGACTGGCATTCGTGCTTCGTCGATTGTGGCAAGCGCATCGTTGTCGTCTTCGTCTCGTCAATCGCGATACGCTGCAGCTGATCGTCTGCGATTCGTCTCGGTCCGGAGTTTAATCACGTTTAAATGCGATATTAATGCAAAGTCATCCCGCTGATAATAGTCTAATCGTATCACACCGACGTTGCTATCGAACTTTTAATAGTACGCGCCAGTTCAGTGCGGGCAGTTGGTCGGTGTTCGATTGTCAGTGCACATCCGACGACCACGACTTG